AAAAAAAAAAAAAGGAAAATTTTGAATAATGGGTTTTGAAATGCATTCATCCATAACAATATAATATTTACTGTGTGATATTGTTTTTAAAATTACATCTAAAAATTGTAATATTATATGCTAATTGTCGACCTAAGTAATGAAAATGGAAAAAAGATTAAAAAAAAAAATCGAATTTAGTAATATCCATTCGGTATGTTGTAAACAACGAAATAACTAAATTTGGCTCGGTTTTCAACAACCATTGTGTAGTGATTGACTTGGTTGCCCACGAAGGAGAAAGATGATTTCTGAATTTTACAAAACTTGAATTCTTGCAGGTAAATTCTTTTGAATTTTCTCAAGCCGTCTTTTCTCTCGATTGCCCCTCGAAAACCTTCATATCTGTTCCCGCATTTTTTCCCACGTTTTTTTTTTTAAGATTTTGGCACGATTGTGCTGAGTCACGTTGTTATGGAAACTTTCCACCCACACAGTGGGTAAAGTGGTCACGCCATGTCAAAAAAAAAAAAAAAAAAGAAAAAAAGGGCCAAGACAATGAGCATGAGAGCTAAAAAAATAAAGACGATGTTTAAAATACTTATGTGTAGAGCTGTAAATGAGCCGAGCTCAAGCTTAAGTCGAACTCGACTTGTTAACCATTCGAGCTTTGATAGCTCGGCTCGTTAAGGCCTCGAACTCGACTCGAGCCGAGCTCGAACCATAACGAGCCGAGCCCGAGCCGAGTCGAGCCAGGCTCATGTAACTTAACATCACTACTTAAGTGACACATATTTTTTTTGACTCAACAGTCCTGCACTCAAAATGCTCTAATAAGTCCATGGATATGAATAGATAAACAACTTGTTGTTGTTAGTTTGAATGAAGGTTGGGTCATGATCGATTAATTGTAACAAATAAATCGTGACAGTATTTATAATTTTTATCATGATTAATGGAAATATATAGTTAAGACTTTAATAATTTGTGCAGAAAACATTAATTGAAAACAATTAAATTTATCATTTTTCATGTGTATTAATGATTACGTGTACAATCATTATTGTACATACGTGCCTTTCTAGTTATTTTTTTCATTTTTATTATAACACACTATAAAATAGTAGATAATTGATGAAATAATATTGTGCCGCCTAAGGATATTATTATTGTAAGAAACTGGGGGAAAACGGTGCGGGCCCACTAACATGAAACGCACCAAAGTGGAGAAAACCCAAATGAAGCCCAATGGGGTTCCATCCCAAAACCAATTGGTGAAAGGAGGAGTAGCCCATTAGACTTATAAGGTGGGTCTATTACAAGTGATATTCTAACACGCCCCCTCACTTGTGAGTCCTTCGGAAGCCCAAATCCAACTGGGCGCCCCAAGCCTACTAGAAGCAGACTTTCTAGTAGACTCCCATAAACGGGTACGTGGGGAAGCAGACTCCCATAAACGGGTACGTCATCACACGGTCCCAATAGAACCGAGCTCTGATACCATTTAAGAAACTGGGGGGAAAACGGTGCGGGCCCACTAACATGAAACGCACCAAAGTGGAGAAAACCCAAATGAAGCCCAATGAGGTTCCATCCCAAAACCAATTGGTGAAAGGAGGAGTAGCTCATTAGACTTATAAGGTGGGTCTATTTTCCATGTATGAACGATGTGGGACAACTCACAAGTGATATTCTAACAATTATGTACAAAAGTATAATTGCTATTATTTTGTCATAATTATTATCATATTCAATGACAACGTTCTAAACTTTTACATGCAATTTAAAAGCATAATTATTATTATTATTATTTTGTTATAATCGTAATTTTATTCAATGACAACGCTTCTAAACATTAGCTTGTTATACTAATTAAATATTCTATTTTACAAAAGACTTCAATTGGAGTTTGTTGAATATTTTTTAAAGGGAGTAGAGCAATATGTAGTCGATCTCTTCTTACAAAATCATATTTGAATTTATCATCAGTTCATTAAATAAATTATCACATTCAGTGTCATTTATCCAATAGAATGAAATAGAAATTCGAACAAAATTCTAGAAAATGAAATAATTTCCCGTAATTGATCAGGTTAAACTTAGACTATGTTTGGTAGACAAATAAGAGCTTATTTAGTGAGCTTATAAGCTCTCTGTATTTAAATAGGTTCTGTTTGGTAGGACGAGCTTATTTAAAAAGCTCGAGCCTATTTGATAAGCTTTTTCGGGTAGTTTTTCAAATAAACTCGTTGAAATTTTTATTTCAGCTAGCTTATCAGCTAATTTTACCAAACACTTTTATCATATAAGTTGGCTTTTCAGTTATTAGTCATAAACTATAGACTATAAGTTCGAAAATTGTAGATAAATTATAAGCTAGTTTTACTAAATATAGCTTTAATCTATCAAGTTAAGGGATAAAGTTGGGTCGATCGTATTGTCATTTTAGAGATTTAAGTCTTATATGAATTAAAAATCTATATAATTATATATATTAACTTATATAAAAATGCATTTCCAAAATTCTAAAAGACCAAATATTTGAAAGCATTGCATACAAAATGTCAAACGTAATTTGCCTTCGAAATCGAAAGAAGAGAAATTGTTTAGAAGGGTACATTAGTAATTTGGAGTGCAAGAGAGGCCGACACAAATGAATTGAGGATTTGATTAGTCGCGGCAATAATCATCGTAAAAAGACTTTTTTTTTTTCCCGCGCACGTGTGGGCATTAGCTTTTCCTATACAGAGCTTTTTGTGCACGTAAGCTCGCGGGCCCCACCGCAGATACTCCGTCCTCTCTTCCTCTGCCGTTGCCCCGTATTCAGGTGCCACACTTGAGGAATTGCAGGCTAAGCACCCGTTTTCGCCTTCTCCCTCATTGCCTCGTTTAGCTGTGGATTGTGAGGCCCTCTCAGCCTCTACCCGTGTTGTTCTTGATTGCATTCGGAGTTTCCCTCGTGGTACATCCTGTGGGCGTGATGGGCTTCGTGCACAACACTTTATTGATTGTTTGAGTGGGGCTGCTGCTGCCATTTCGGATGAGTTGATCTGCTCTATCACGCATGTGGTTAACCTCTTTCTTGGAGGGGAATGTCCAGAGGTGCTCGGTGAGTATATTGCTAGTGCCCCTCTCACTCCGCTTGTTAAACCTGGTGGTGGTATTCGACCTATTGCTGTGGGTACCATTTGGAGGCGCCTAGTCTCTAAGGTTGGTGCCCTTCTGATTGGTCCTTCTTTACGTTCTTATTTTGATGGTCTGCAATTTGGTGTTGGGGTGCCCAGCTGAGGAGAAGCTATTCTTCATGCTTTAAATCGTTTAGTAGAGGCCCGTGGAGATACAGTAGGCCTTTCCATGCTGCTGGTTGACTTCAAGAATGCTTTTAACTTGGTAGATCGTGAGGTTATGATGTATGAGGTGCGTTCTCGCTGCCCTTCCCTCTCGCGATGGGTTGAGTTCTGCTACTCCCGCCCTGCCAGGTTGTATTATGGGGAGCACACCTTAAGATCCTGCCAAGGGGTCCAGCAGGGTGACCCCCTTGGCCCACTACTATTCGCCTTAGCGTTACATCCTCTGGTCCGTAAGATTCAAGACACCTTTGACTTGACTCTACAGGCTTGGTACTTGGATGATGGCACGATTGTTGGAGACACCCTGGTTGTGGGTAAGGTCCTTCAGTTGATCATGGAAGATGGTCCGCAGCTGGGTTTACACCTTAATGTTGATAAAACTGAGGTTTTCTGGCCTAATGAGGATCCTCGGAGCCGGCTTGCTGGAGTCTTCCCAGACAATATCGCTCGACCTCAGCTCGGGGTCAAGGTCCTTGGGGGGCCTGTTAGTGTAAGCGATGACTTCAGTTCTCAGCTTGTGATGAAAAGAGTAGCCAGAACAATTGAGCTTATGGATGCGGTTGCTAAGATTAATGATCCGCAATGTGAGTTGCTGCTACTCCGTGCCTGTGCAGGTATTTCCAAGCTCTATTTCGCCATGCGCACTTGCCCCCCCCATGTTTTTAGTGCAGCGCAGCATGCTTTCGATATGGCCCTTCGCGCTAGTTTAGAGCGTATTGTTACCGCGTCTGGCCCCGGGTTTGGTGACTGGCAGTGGCGGCTTGCCACCTTGCCTTTTTCGTTTGGAGGCCTGGGAGTCTATTGTGCTGGGGACGTGGTAAATTATGCATTTCTGGCGTCTAGGCTTCAGTCTGCAGGGTTACAGGATAAGCTTCTCCTTCCTTCTGGGATCGCTGATGCGGGCATTACCTTTGGTGATGCCGTGGAGGTGTTTAACAGGGTTGCAGATACTGACTTATTTGGTGCTTCTAGTGAGATTGCTGCCCCCAAATTCATGAAGAAATTGGCAGATATATATTTCACTCGAGTTACCGATTCGGCGGAATCTGTATTCTCCTTATCTCCTAGGCAGGTGGCCTTGTGGAAGTCGCAACAGGGTGATCACGCATCAGATTGGCTCCGCGCAGTCTCGATTTCTGGGCTAGGGCAAACGATGAATGGTAAGACCTACCGTGCTGTGCTCTGCTATCGGTTAGGTGTGCCATTATTTTCCATTTCCAGACCATGTTCGGCTTGCTCTCGGGTCTTTGACGGAGATATATTTGGCGATCATGCGGTGTCATGTGCCGGTGTGGTTGGCATTAAACATCGCCATAACCTTGTTCGCGATACTCTTTCAGATGTCTGCTTTCGCTCCGGGATCTCTGTTGGTAAGGAGGTCGATATTGGACTCCTTGATGCGCTAGATCGACCACTTCGCCCTGCTGACTTGTTACTTTACTCATGGGATA